ATATAAATATCTTCATAAAAGATAATGAGGAAATTAAATGAGATGATCTGCACAGGGCCACCCTGTCAGCAATGCCGGGGGACGGTCACCCCGGGTCTGTGTGGCTCTGGGACTCTGACCTGCTCTGTCATCTGCAGCCCCCGAAGTGGAAGGAGACCCCACTGGAGGCAGGACCTGAAGCACATGTTGAGTTTGCAGAGTCACTGAGCRGTGTGGAAATCTTCCCCACGCAAGGGACAACATTCGCAAAGTCACTGATACCTAAAATTAAAAAAATAAAAAAAAAGAAAGAAAAGAAAGAAAAAGAAAAGGAAAAACCCTGATACTTGGAGTCCCCCGTTCTGAGAATTCGGGGGACACTTCCTCTTCCTGCTCCTCCTTTCCTCACCCCTGTGGCACAGATAAATAGGCAGCCTGAGCTCTCYGCTGCCTGGAGGCTCCCCAAGGAGGCTGGCCTGTCCCCCTCACAGAGGTAGGGCCTGGGTCCCAGGGCAGGGCTGAGGGGGGAGTCCAGGAGGGAAGGGACAGGGAGCTGGGGGTGTCAAGTGGCGGCTTGCTTTGGGGACTTGGGGAGGACCGGGATCAAGCCCCTCAGGCAGGCCACGAGAGGTTGGAGGAGAGAGCGTGGGAATCAGTTCCCTGCTCTGTCCCTTGCTTTGCCACGAGGTGCTGTGTGGAAGGTGTGGGGACGGTGAGGTACTTCCCTCCCCGGGGGCTTCTGCCTCCCCATCTTTACGCCGGGCACATTGGAGAGGATCATCTCTGCGACCCAGCTCTGCCCCCCAGATGTGCGAGTGTGTGTGTGTGTGTGTGTGTGTGTGTGTGCGCGCGTGCGCGTGTGCGCGTGTGCAAGGGACCTCACTGGTGGGGGGAGAAGATGGCAGAGGAGGGAACTCGGCTCCAGTCAGGTTCAAACTTGGTGTGGCCTGGGGAGGGCAATTTCGGAGCTGCCCTTGTGCAGAGGTGTATGAGGACATGGACTCCCCAGGGTGGCAGACTGTCCTTTATCCTGTGACCTTGTTCAATTCACTGGTTTTAATAGCTTTTTAAAAATAGTTCACTTAAGATTTTCTGTCTACGTGAGTAGCATCCTGAATGAAGACGGTTTACAACTGAATCCGTCCATCTGTACGGCTCACAGCCAGGTGTGCTGGTCGGTTAAGCTGCTGACAGATGCCACGGGAGACCTAGGGCTCATGGAGCGAGGCTCCTGGGCAGTCAGGGCGACGGGCTGGGCAGTGCACCTCGGTCGCACACGTGCCTCCCATGCATTGCCAAAGGACATGCCTCGGTTCCCTCGTGACACTGTCCAGTGGTGGCTCGATGAGCACCTCCCTCTGCACAGTGCTCCGATCTGTGCCGGGCACCGCGAGGTGAGGGTTGTAGCTTGGGCTACAGAACCAGCCTCAGCTTAGCGGCCTTTGTCCCATGGTGTCCCAGCATCCCGAGGACCTGGCACGCATGCAAGAAAGCAGCTTTCTACAGTCAGCACTAATCTGCCCCAGTTCCCAGGATACACCAGGGACAGCCAGGACCACCGGAGGGAACACGTATCTGGGCATTCTGACCCAGGCTCCTCTCACTGTGCCTCCACTTGACTCGGCTGTTGAGAACCGCGAGGACAGGGTGTTTTCCTGTCCTCCTTTTCTCCAAGGGTGACACACCCACCTGCCATGTGCCTGAATGCCCTTACAATCTCATTGCGCCCATCTTCCAGCTTTTGTGACTTCCCTAAGGTGGCACATGGGGATGTAGGTCGTAGCCAGATCCCATCACTGTACAAAGAGCCTCCAACTACAKCGAGCAGAGCTGGGAGAGCAAGCCGGCCGGGAGGGGCCTGGAACCCAGCAGAAGCGGGATCAGGGATGTTCATTTATGGTGGATATGGGTCTGTGACTTGGGGCCAAGGACTCCTCATGACCATGGTCAGGTGCATGCACAACCCTGTTTTCATGAGGGCACAGGCTGCAGTCCCCACCCTGGTGCCACTCTGCTCTGAAGCTCCCCTTTTGCCTCTGGATTCTTCTTTGAGTGATGCTGAGCGTATGGGGGCGCAGCCTGGAGCCCCACATCGAGGCTGCTGCTCTGTAGAGCTTCTCTCACTCCCGCAGGGAGGGTCGCAGGTGACCTGGGAAGCACGTGGGCTGTTCCCTAAGCCACTCCAATTATAAGGCACGTGTGGCCATCTACGGGTGCCACCTGCCCATCTCCATCCCCACGGGGTCGCCGGGAATGTGTCCGCCCGTGCCCTTTGGCTTTGCGGTATCTGTGCGCCACCCAGCACAGCACACCTTGGCATAGCTCGGCCACRTTCATTTGCCCCCATACCGGCAGAAAGGCATGTTGGGGTCCTTAAAAGAAAGTAAGTCTCGTCCAGGTCTGAAGGGCAGTTGGTCAGCAGCGACCTTGAGCAGCGACCGTGCTCCATCTGGCCGTGCCTGCCCATTGCAGCTGGACGGCTGGTTGTTGATGCCACAGAGACCAGCAGGGGGCGACAAAGGAAGCGCATTGCAGGCCCCGCGGCTGGTTTGGTTCTGCGTTTCTGCCAGGGTCCCCGGTTCTGGGACAGAGGAGCTCTAAGGGTGGAATGCAAGAGGCTTTAAAGAGAGGGAATCTTGATTGGTCAGCAATAACCAAGCGACCTGATGAGACCAGGGAAGAAGATGCCAGCCGGGGCCCACCCCAGGTTCCCAGTCCTGTGCCCCATTTGTCCCTGTGGTCTCTGCAGGGGGGTTGTTACAGACCACAGTGAAGTGACAGGTCCTTCTCTAGTGACGGACACTAACCCTGGGTTAGCCATTTTATTAGAAGGAAGAGGTGACCCTGCACCTCTAGGCTCAGTTCCATGCCTCGTTCTAGCCCCTTCCCCAGGGACCCGGGACCCACACCACCGAGGCCTTATTTGCTCTTCCTGTGGCCCGCAGACTCTCCGGGCCCCCGTGGCAGGTCCTGCATCGACACTGACAGCCGTTCACCCAGGGTTCTCGTTTGTGGAGTGAGGTGTCTTCTCTAAGCCCCGTGGCTTAGATCCGGATGGCACGATCAGGTCCTCGTGTTGATGTCTGGCAGGCAGTGGGCCGTGTGCTATGGCCATGTCCATTGGATGGACATCACGGTCACTTGGTCCACATTGCCAAGGACCCACCCATTGTTCTGGGGGCCACCCTCCCATGCACTCAATGAGTCCTGTTGCGCTTGGGTCATAAGATCAGAGGAGAGGACAGCACGTGTCCAAATTTTGGGCCCATTCCTGTACCATCTGACCAGTGGTAGAGCATGTCTCCTGGTCATCGTCCACGTCAGCAGGGTGCCACACGTGGTGCAAAGCATTTCAAAGCCGGGTGTGGTGGCCTTCTGTGGGGCTTTCCACAGCCCACGCCTGCCGTGGTCCTCTGTCTGCCCTCCGATGCGCACGAGGTGCAGTGAGGTCACCTTTGTCCAGCCACCTTTTTAGAGCTGCCCRCCTGCTATGTGGGGATTGGCTGCGCTTGCTTTGTGACCCGGCAGAACAAGGGTCACGTACGAGCACCSTGTCGGAGCCATTACCAGGAGCCCTGCTTCTTCGCTGAGGACTGGAGAGCTTTCCTTCCCTGTGGCCCATGCGYGTAGGGAGTCAGCAGCGCGCGGCCCTCGGCACATTCTCCAGCCCCAACCTCAGCTAGTGTCCCTGCTTCCCAAGGGCCTGGCAGAGACACAGGGTTGGTTGCTGCCCCATGTCACTGTGGTGATTGTTTCTGAATGTCTTCCTGTATCTTGTTCCCTTTCATCGCTGTGACCAAGATCYTCAGGCAACTCTTGCTGTTCTGTTGCCCTTGGCCTCAGACCCACCAGGGCAGCTGGAGACGTCAGTCTGTAGGATCGCTCTTGGGCCACTGTGCCCACGGCYCSTAACTTCTTCACAGCTGTTTGAGAAAAGCCCTTGAGCTCAGGTCTCAGGCCCCTGCAGCCCCTTCCTTTTATTCACTAAATGGCAGAGTGGTCTTAACATCTGCTTTAACAATCCTCAAAGGTCTGCAGCTCCTGGGGAGTGGTCAGGGTAGGGGCRCTTGGACTCTGTAAAAGTGCCTGGGCTKGCCTGGCATGTGGGAGGCACTGGGTTCGATTCTCACCACCACATAAAGATAAATGAATAAATAATAAATGTCCATCAACAATTTAAAAACAAAACAAAAAATGGCTGCTACCATTCAGTGGTACCATTTCCACCCGACAGCCCCCGAGGACTTGACAGAGAACCCCGGTTCTTGCAATTTGCAGGTGTGAATGGCCGATCCTCTCTCTTGGTGTGGTTTGTTCAGCTGTGGGAGGGCAGGGCACACAGAGACTTGGAGAGAGCAAGAGGGTAGGTTTGCTAGATGTAGAGAAAGAAGGGGAGGGATGGGGAGGCCTGACGGACGGTGAGACATGATCGCTCTCCACCTAGAAGCCCTGGGGCCAATCTCCCCTTCTGCCCACCCTTTCTAGCTCCTTCCCTTAACTTTTTAAAGAGCCTCCTGGGACGTCAGTTTGCATCATGGTTTCCTGAGCAGGTGTGTGGCCGTGTGCATAGGTGTGCATAGGTGTGCATAGGTGTGCATAGGTGTGCATGCTTGTGTGTTTTGTGGGTTTCAAAAATTGGGGGGAAGAGAAGATAAGACACTTGACTCTGAAGATACCACCAAGGACAGCAGGGAAACAGGAGCCCGCCTCAGCTCCTGCAGCACCCAGGGAACAGGCAGTGCCAGGCTGGGGCCGGGGATGAGGGACACTGGGCACTCCATGCTGGGAGAGGGGTGGCCCAGAGGGCGACTGTGATCCTGCCTCCCCCCGTCAGAGGAGGATCCCAAATCATATCCATCAGAATCATGTGGGGTGCAAACCCCCAGAGCAGAGGGCCAAGCACAGCGTCCAGACCAACGCCAGGGGACAGATGAGGAGACCAAGGCCAGGTAGGAGAGGCCKCTCAAGGACGGGAGCTCAGGCCGCCCTCCCTCCACGCAGCCTTTGCCCTGTTCCTGGCCATGTCGGGGGAGGAGGCCCRTCCGATTCTGTTCCATACGCCTTCCTTAGGCCCTGAGTGAGGAACCGCTAGCAGAGGACAGAGATAAAAGAGCTGGCCCCCTGGGTCTGGCCAGCCTCTGGCTGTGAAGGACACAGGAGTCTAGGCCATGTGACCCCCAGCCTGTCCATCACTCACCTGTCACCCGCCTGCACTTCCAGAGCTGACCGGGAGATGGCGCTGACCTGGGGGCTGCTCCTCCTGGCCCTGCAGGCTCCCTGGGGCCAGGGGGTGACAGGGGCAGAAGGTGAGTCTGACGGCTCCCTCCCTCTCCCCTCCCCCTCACTGCTGGACCCCAGAAGCTCCCAGAGCCAGGCTCCGGCCGTCCTCCCTGGGCTTCCCTCATTTCTTCTGCCSGTCCGCTTCCTCCTCCCTGGGCACCGCCCCTGTCCCCATGTCCCCGTCCCCCCTTTCCTGGCCTCCTGAGGCCTGGTCCCTTCTCTGCCCACGTTTCTCAGCGTGGCCCCGAGGCCCTGCCTCCAGGTGGGCCCAGCCCCTCTGCCCTCCCTCCTCACAGACCCTCCATCCTCTGGTGGCCTCAGGGTCCCCCCTCGGGTCCTGGGTTCTCTCCCACTTCAGCCCCCGGAGAACTTGACTTCTCTGGTGACCCCAGGAGCCATGTCCCCTCCACACCCAGCCTGGCAGGCTGAGGGCAGGGAGCAGGGCCCAGGGCCGGGCAGTGCCTGTGGTGTCTGGGGCCTGGGCCCCGCCTCTCCTCCCTGGTGCACATGGGGTTGGGACAGGACCTGTGCCTGAGGCAGGTCCCTGTCCTGAGGGACCTGGAGCAGCACCAGGCAGGGCCCTGAGGTGCTGAGAACCAGCTCCTCTGTGCTTCTGTCAGGAGGGGACTGTCCCCACCTCAGAGCCCCCAGCCCACACAGGCCCAGGGCCTCTGCAGGAAGGCAGGAGACCCCTCCCCAGGGCTGCACGTCCCCGAGGAGCTGGGTGGTGACAAGGGACACTGAGGGGACAGGAGTGACCCTCCTGCTCTGCCCACCAGAAACCATCCCGCTGAAGACGCTGCGCTGCTACAACAACTACACCAGCCGCATCGTCTGCAGGTGGGCGGACACGCAGGACGCCCTGCRGCTGCTCAACCTGACCCTCCATCRCAGGGTGAATGGGTGAGTGGCCCTGGGAGCCGGGACACAGGTGGSACCTGCCCTGTCCCTGTGCCTGTCCCCCGTGCTGTGGAGTGGAGAGGGGCGTGTCGGTCAGCATCGGGTTGGACCACTCACAGGACAA